CTTGCTACTGCAGGGAGGAGAGGGCTTTCGGAAAGGGAGATTGTCAAGTAGCAAGCGAACAGCAACACTTTTTATCACATCGCAAGCTGTTCGGAAAGGCCAGGCCGGTGGGTGCTGAAATGTCAGCCCAGCAGCTGTCTTGATCCAATCTGTGAGAAGATGGAGCCACAAAGTCCAGTTAGGAATACCTTGAAGCCTTGAGGCGTTTTGTAGCGAGGAGTCCTGGGTGGGAAGCGCGGGTCCGGATTTGAGGAAGGATTTTGCTCTGGTCTCCCGCTTTGTGTGGTTTTGTTGTGTACGATGTGAGCGAGCAGCATTTTCGGGGATGGCAAAATGGGAACAAGCCCGGGAAGTGTTCATCCCTGCCTTGGCAGTTGGAGCAGAGAAATAATCTTCAGCCCAGGCTCACAAAGTGTGCTTTGGACCTGACGTGTTAGCTGGTTGGATTCTCCATCCTTTCAGAGTGTGCGTTTCACGTGGGAGGATGTGGCTCGAACAGATGTAGCTCTTTCTAAGCTTGACTTGCCTGAAAGGCTGTGGCTTCTCTTGGCTGCACTTCGGGGTGTTGGCTGCTGGTAGTTTCTCATAAACATCCAAATACCAATGCCAGCCCCAAACCTTGCTCATCACCCACCAGCTAGTCTTGGTTAATTTGAAGCCATAATATTTTCTATTACGGAAGGTTTTTTGTTTGTCTGTAGACAGCTGTTGTTTTAGCCCGGTAGAGATCTCCACGTGTCCGTACCTTCCCTGTTGTCCCTTTTGCCCAGCCTGACTGAGAAGTTGCCTGGGGCTTGCGGTTCTCGCTGTTGGCAACGCCTTGTCCCCGTGTCAGCCAGAGCCCGCAGGCTGCAGTGCACTGCTGTGCAGTGTTAGGGAGGTCGGCGCTGCCCGCTCACAGGGACAGGGCAGCACGATGCTATTTCTGCCTGGCGGCAGGAGGAAGACCTGTCCTTCGGTGACAAATGAGTAAGAAGCAAAGTCTTTTGACTTGGCAGCCCTGGATACAAAAGGGAAATCCTGACGCTAGGTCAGAGCTGGGGACTTCAGAGCAGCAGTCGGCGCTTTTCCGCAAAATCCCACCGCCCTGGAGCAAGCCCTACCCCTACCGCTGCAATGGCTGAACAACGGGGAGAAGTGCTGCCTAACAGCCCTCTGCCCCAGGCGCCGCTCCCAACCGTGTCTGTGAACAGCAATATGGCAGGAGCTTCTCTGGAAGCTCAATACCAGCCAGTCCTTGTTAGACCTAGGCAGGGTTTGCCATCAGCCGGTTGCCCACTGCCGTGAGCTGTGTCTAGTCTCGTGTCTTGTAGTTTATTGCTCGGCTTCTCAGCTTGAGTTCTGTGTACTGACTCCACCTAATCACAGTAAAAGGTTTGCCCATGTTTTAGCCATGACTTCGCCATGTTTTTCCAGCTCCAAAAAAGCGAATGCTGGGAAACTGCATCTTTCAGTATGTCAGATAATCACACACCCGGAATTAGCTTTCACGTTGAGGTAATGGTGACTGACCTGTTCTCTGTCATCCCATGGAGAAAATTCCCCAGTCATTTTGTACCATTATATAAATATATATATAAATATAAATATATAAATACAATATGTGAAGACATCTTATTGGTTTTTATTTGAAACAATTTTTAGGCTTGTTTTTGGGTATCTGTGCTGCCTGTAATGTATTGACCTGTTTTATAGGTGCCTTTTTATTAAAAAGACAAATTTCAAAACCTGACCCTGTGCCTGTCTTCAGTGGGCTGCGTGATTTTCTGCAGGGCTGCAAGCCAGTGTGCTCAGCCCAGCCCTGGGGAGCTCAGCCAGCATCACCCGCGGGAGGCTGGGGCTGGTCAGAGAGGCTCAGCTGGCCCCACTGTAAATACCTTACGTCAGGTGGGGGCTCTGAGCAGAGAGGAGCTCCTCTGGGTTGCAGGAGTCGTCTGTGCCTAAGCTATGCTGAGGCTTGGCTGCAGTGCACTTGGAGTCTTCTTCCTGTGAAATTCGGGCAGCCCCCTCTCGTGACGGGGTCAGCTGTTCAGCGCCTGCCGCAGTCTGTGCGGGGTGGACGATTTGGCCCTCCTCGGGCACTTGCATGCTGGCTCCCCAGCATCGAACGAGACCCAACCACACAGCTCCAAGCGGTTTGTTACCATATCGTGGATTTTGCTGCCTGAGTCCAGGCTGTGCTGGCTGTTCTTTCTCACCCTCTGCCGTGCCAGCCCATCCTCTAGCTCCTGTGGCTTGAAATGGATCTCCTTTTCTAGCCGCTGCAAACAAGTAACGGTCACAAGGTAAACAGCCTCATTTTCCCCTCCTGCCTGCTGCTGGTCCCTGCCTCCGTGGCTGTTCCTGAACACATCTGCTCCCAGCCACTCATGTCTGGCAGGGGAGCTGCAGGCCCCCGGGGCACGGAGTAGGTGAGGGAGAGGGGCCCGCCACCTGAGCTGCAAGTGGAGCTTCCGGTGCTGCAGGTCCCATCTCCTGTGACTTTGAAGCGGTTGCTGCGTGCCTCCATCTGAAGAGAAGCTCCTGCCCTTCATGCGATGGTTGTGAGCTCCGTGGGGGAGCTGGGACACCTGTGCTTGGTGCAGACCTGTGTGCGCCCCTGCCGTGGGGCTGCACCCTGCCTGCAGCGGGCAGCAATTGGGCCCTGCTGCTTACGGGCAGTGGAAGCTGCGCCGGGACCAGGGAACTTGCCTTTGCAGGATGTGGGACAGGACAGTCCTCCCAGGTAGGTGGAGGGGCATGCACAGGGCTGGGGGGGGCGGGGGGGCAGGGCTACCCTGGACACCTCAAGTCCCTGGCAGGACTGCAGAGCGGAGAGGTGACCTAGAGTAGGGACTCACCGCCCGAGCTGTCCGCTGGTGCCTGGAGCCCCACGGTCCCTCCTTGTTTTGGGCATCTCGTGGCCTGGCAAAGCTCACGTGTGCCGTAGCTGCTGCATGCTTGTGGGGAGCCAGAGCAAATGCAGAGCACGCTGTGACGGCAGCACGGCGAGAGGCCGGTTCTCGGGGCTCAGAGAGAGAAAGGGGTCGTGCTGCTGTCTGTGCGCAGAGCCGGGGTGGTGCACCTGGCATGCTGCCCAGTACCCAAGCTCATGGGCCTTGGTGGCTGTGGTGTCATATGTCCAGGGCCACCTGTGCTCAAAATAAGGAAGACACAGGCAGGCAGCAGTACAGACACTGAAGTGCTTTAGGATCTGTTTGGTTCTGGGAGGTTGGGGCAAGGAAGTAGGTTGTCTTCTTGATAAGGAAAATGAAACTCTCTGTGAGTCATGGCGGGGCAGGGGGTGCTAGAGCTGCTGGGAGGAGTGCGAGGGCATGGGGAGAGCCCCTTCTCTGCAGCACTCCCAGGCACGCGTTCATTCATGCGTTCCCTGGCTTGCGCCCGTCGGTGCACGCTCCACTGCCTGCCACAGTCCCGTGATCGCTGCGCCTGTGTAGCAGGATGCTCTGCTGAAACACCCCAGCTCTGTCTCCTGGGAGACTCGGTCACCCTGTAGGACATGCAGAGCAGCATGCTGTTGTGGGGGTCTTTGTGTCCCCTTCTTCGGGGTTGCCTTCAGCAGGGACCAGGGTTTTCTCTGGGTTGTCTGCTCCAGCCTTGCTTGCAGAGCACAGCCCGGGACCAGGGTCGCATGAGCGTGCGCTGTGGATGGTGGTGACGTGGCCTCACCGCCACGCCACCTCCCCGCTCCCTGCGGCAGCCGCCTCAGAGCTCCCCTCGGCCCTCAGTGCCCCTTCCCGGCGGCCCGGGGGAAGCAGAGCCCATCTGCCTCACTCAGTAGTGGTGGGCTGGGGGCTGAGCAGAGCTCCACGGGGGAGCCGGAAGGTCTGCCTGAGGGCTGCAGTGTCCAGGGGTGGCTCTAGCAGCGTGAGCGCTTAGCGGGGAAGCCCACTCTGGGCCAAGGCATGTGATGGCCATGCAAACCTCAGGGAGACGGGGAGGATTTCGCTGAGTGGAAAGCCCAGCTTCCTCTGCGGTGAAGGAGAGTTCCTCTTGCTTTCTTCTCGTCGCCATTCAGCAGGCTGGCTGCAGTCAGCTGCAGGAGGAGCAATGCCCGCTCTTTGGGGAAGGGCCTGCCAGCTCTGAGCCGAGCCTTCCCCAGGCTGGCTGAGCCGAACACGGGTGCAAGGGTGGCTTTCCACTCAGCTTAGCAGCTGCTGTAAAACTGGGGTAGGAGGTGCTGCAGTCGGTGGAAGAGGCTCTGTAAAGCAGGAAGCCTAACGTAGGTCTGGACTGACTCTGAACACAGCGGAGCCTTCTGTGGCACTGGTGAAGGGAAATCTGAGCAAGGTGCTCTTACGAGCCCTGCGGTCTCCATGTGCGAACAGCAACGCTTGTCAGAAAGGTGCCATCAACCCTCTTAGTGCTCTCTGTGATGCATTTCCCTTGCAAAAGTGACATGACTGTAGACAACTGCTTATAAGCACCGTACATGAGAAGACGGTATTTTATTTACCTGTTTATTACAGCTCACGTCAAAACTTTCTAAAAGTTTACCACCATACCAATACTAAAAACTATAGTAACAATAGATGCGTAATCCGTTCATCCTTATTTTGCGTGCAGATTTTCTTTTTTACCTTGTGAACACTAAGGATTTTACACTCTGACTGTTGAATTCTTCAGTAACATTTTTGTGTAGGAACACAGTTCCCATCAGAACCGGGGCTGGGGAGGTGTTTGCAATGCGTCTGCAATGGGTTTGCTCGCCAGTGCAGCCGTGGAGATAGGAAGGGCAGACTTCAGAGAGCTGCTCTTCCTCTACTGTGCGTACGTGCTTGGACAACCACGGTCACCATTACCTGCAGGTTTCAGCTTTGAAGATGCAGCGCTGCAGGAAATGGTGGACTGCTCTTTGTATAAAAGCCTTATGCTTGGGGAATTTTCTCCTCGAGTCACAATTTGAGAACGAGCT